AAAACCACACCCACACCCATTTCGAATTAAAGAATAATTGTACTAGAACACTAATATCATCAGTTTTATTGATCCTTTACGAATTTATTAAACACATTGTTCGTGAATAATGAGATTTCAGAACATTGCGATTAGGATTATGACTGACGTTTTCAGGCATAATGTTTTTGGACAATTATACCAATGTTCCGTTTAGTTTTCAATGTAGAGTCTGCATTGCAGACTTAATTTCTGATGAGACAACACAAAACACCGAATAGACTGAGGGAGTGGGTGTGGGTTTAGAAGAAGAAATCCCTACTTATATCCACACCCACACCCACCCTTTGGGTCTGATTGAGTTTCGATTATTTGGGTGTGGGTGTGGGTTTAGAAGAAAGCACCCTACGCACATCCACACCCACACCGAAAAATCGACACAGTTAACTTTCTGATAATGATGCTCTATGAAAATAAAATAGAAAGTGGTTTAAAAAGCACTCGCTCTTCTAAAACGATCGTAAAAATATTAATTATGTTTTGTTTTTTGTCAACAGAAGATTTTCATCTAATGATGAAATGCGCTGCTGTTTAGATGCTCACTCTGCCAATAATGTATGGACATCCTTTATTGTTCACATATTTGGTGTCCATTTTTTAATTACCCTTTGGGACTGTCGTGCAGACAGGACTATTACTTTCTCATCAGTGTTATAGAATGTGTTATTCTCAAGGGATGTTGTATAACCTACTACTATCATTAATGTGTCTGATTTTCTTCTAAATATTATCCGTATGTCATTGCGCAATGTGGTTACCTTTCTGAACGTAATTAATGTAAGATAGAAATGTCTATCATATCTTTTTTCTGTTCTTTCTTCTTTCTCTCTCTCTCTCTCTCTCTCTCGTGTGCACGTATATAAAGCGAGTACATTGTATTATACATATGATTGGTGTGATCGTGCTGAAATAATTTTTGATGCGTTTAATGTTAATGACGCTGATCGCTTATCTCGTATTGGAATTAAATTAGAAGACGCTGCGTTTGATTGGTATCGTGATAATCAAAGACCTTATGGAACATGGATGGTCTTTCGCCAAACATTTGAACGAGCATTTCCTGCTCCTGAACGTACACAAAATCCACATTTATTAGCTGAACAGATAAATCAACTTAAACAAGGATCTGAGGAATCAGTGCACGATTATTATTATGCATTGGATAAATTATGTAGAGAATATGATCCACAAATGTCTGCCATTGATAAAACAATAAAATTAGTTGGTGGTCTTCGTGAAGAATTAAAAGAAAAAGTATTATCATTAAACATTCAAACACCAGAACAATTTATGACACAAGCGAAGAATTATGAATCTAGTGAAAATGTGATGACACATCATCGTAAACAAAATGGATCTATGCAATTACCCGAGCCAACATATAAATTTGAATCAAATGATTATTCAATGGTTGCTGCATCTAAACCACGTGAACAATTAAATCCATCATATTATCAACAACCTTATCGAACACATTCTGAAAAATTTAATTATCCATTGAATCGACCAGTCGAGAATCATCAACAACAAGCAAGAAATGGTACATTTTCATATGAACAACAACGTGGTCAACCGTCGTAATATTATCAACAAGAAAATTTTAATGATAATCAAAGAAGAAATTTTCAGAAATGTTTTAGGTGTGGGCAAATCGTACACATACAAAAATATTGTCAACAACATTTAAACTAATAACAGAGACAGCAGATGATGGTACTGTCTCTGATGCCAACAAAATTCCATCGACATCTCTTATCGTTACTCTTCAAATCAATAATAAGTTTATCGATTCAATGATCGATACAGGATCAGCAAAAACAATTATTCATATTAATACGTTATACAAATTAATACATCGACCTTACATTAATTATCAAAATCGTTTACATCGCACTGCAAATAATGGTGAATTACGTACTATTGGGTTAGTAAATTTAAGGATTAGATTGAAAAATATTTTAACATTTATATTAGCTGAAGTAGCTATTGATTTATGTACAGGACTAGTATTAGGAAATGATTGGATTAGTAAAAATGAAAATGATATTATCACTACACAGAAATCTATTCGCAAACGTCGAGGATCATATGTTGTTTCGATACCATTTTCAGATTATTATCAAGAAGCATATCCGGTTTATTCTATTTATTCTATTCATACTTTGCCAGAACAAGAAATGATTGTACCTGTGCCACGTAGTATTAAAGCAATACCATCATTTATTAAACAGACAGAATGTTATCGAAAATATCCACCAAATTCTTCCACATTAGCTCAATCATTATTCGATAAACAAAAACGAATGCTGAGGCCGTTAATTTTACTCCACCATTAACATCAACATCATTACCATGGTTATTAAAACAACGAGTTAAACCATTCAACAAATCTGATCTTAAATGTCGCACATGTTATGAAAAGTATAAAACAAAGAAACAATTATTTGAACATCTTCATCGCGCTAGTCATTATGTTAAACGTGAAACAAAAGGATTATCTACACTTCGTTCAATATCAACTGAAACAGGAAAACAATCATCAATTATCGGTGCAATTTCAACTCGTCGTATGAAATATCGACAACAACAACGTGAACCTATTCCAGTAACAACAACCACTGCTCGACTTGATCAACGTTCAAATTTATTTAAACCAACTGATCGAATTAGTGTATTTACGAATGAACAATTAAAATTTTATCAACAGCGAGATAATTTTATCAAGAAAATAATAGAAAATATTTATAAACCTCCATTTAGAAATGAATATTGTATAAATAATGATATATTATGTCGTAATGTTAAAAGAATTAATAGGATTATACCTGTACCAGTTATACCAAGAGAAAAAATTTATGATGTTTTATTGGCTTATCACGATTCATTACTAAATGGTGAACACTTAGGAAACAATCAAATATTTTACAAAATTCGTAACAGTTATTACTGGTCAAGAATGTATGACGATATTATTGAATTTGTGAAGTCATGTTCGACCTGCACAATTGATAGATACTCGAGAAGAAATTATGGTGCTTATAGAACAAACCAAATTTATTTAAATGGTGATTTCGTTTACGTCAAACGACTAGGATTAAATCACAAGTTATCATCAAAATATGATGGACCATATCAAATAATTCAACAATTGAACGAATCAGTATATCGACTTCAAAATCCCAATGAATTAAAAGAAATTTTCAATGTACACACTAGTCGCCTACATCGATGTTATTGATTCAACTCATGAATTGAACACGTGAACGTCAATTAACTGTATGTAAGAAGAAGAAGAAGAAAAAGAAAAAAAAAAGAAACAGTTGTCTAAAAGATTTTTTTTTGACATGTATTTTTTTGTGTTGTGTTATTGAAATTGTATTTGTTGTATAAAGTTGTTAACTAATTGTAAATCGAGCGAAGCGAGATTTAAATGGGCGAGGGGATTGTGTTAGAGAGTACTCTAACAAGTTTATTTATTCTTTTTATTCTTTCGTTTCTCTCTCTCTTCATCACTCTCTATTGTGTCTTCTTTCCTCCCGTGCGTGACGATGTAAATAAAGGCATCGTTTCTTCGACTAGAATCAAATGCATTCATAGAGTGATGCACAATCGTAATTATGTACAAAATAGTCTAGTCGAAGAAGTAAAGGTCTTTTCTTCTTTCTGCCTTTGTCTCTCTCTCTCTCTCGTTCTATTGTGTGCGTATGTGTGTGTGTGCGCGTTGTACATATAAATAGGGAAAGAAAAATAATAATAAAACAGACAGTGATCAGATCGGATCAGAGTAGAAAAAGAAACGTATTTCTACGTTGTGAATTGAGTCAAAGTTACAGCTGGGCCTCTGTAACATGATATTTCATGCGTCATCATGGAAAAAAGAACACACGGTAAAACAATTAAGACAACACTATGCCACTTATTTTGTCAAACCGATTCAATATTCTGAGCAATAACAACGGCATAGATTATAATTGATATAGAGAAGTAAATAAGAGAGAGAGAGAGAGAGAGAGTACTAAGAATCACTGATTCAATAAGAGAATAAAAATTAGCGATGCTAAGAAAAAAGAAATACATCAACACGAAACATTAGATAATATTCTTGACGAGCATCATTAAATCAGAATGATGACGGTAAGTTATACTACTATCACTTTCTGATCAAA